CGCTTTAGGATGGAGGCTGGGTTCAGGTTTTTTATTCAGAGTGGTGATTCACAATTTGACCACTTGGCCATTAGTAATAGTCACTTTTGCACATCAGGTAATTACTATATTCTAAGCCCCATGTTAGTTGTAGACATTTAAATGTACATTAGTTATCTTTTCTTTCTTTCTTTTTTTTTAAAGATTTTATTTATTTATTTGAGAGAGAGAATGAGACAGAGAGAGAGAGCACGAGATGGGGGAGGGTCAGAGGGAGAAGCAGGTTCCCCGCCGAGCAGGGAGCCCCATGCGGGACTCGATCCTGGGACTCCAGGATCATGACCTGAGCCGAAGGCAGTCGCTTAACCAACTGAGCCACCCAGGCGCCCCTGTACATTAGTTATCTTTTCTGATACTAACTCTCTGAAGATAAAATAATTCCCATTTTGGAAAAATGAAGGGAGGAAATCGGAGGGGGAGAAAAACCATGAGAGACTATGGACTCTGAGAAACAAACTGAGGGTTCTAGAGGGGAGGGGGGTGGGGGGGATGGTTTAGTCCGGTGATGGGTATTAAGGAGGGCACGTACTGCATGGAGCACTGGGTGTTATACCCAAACAATGAATCATGGAACACTACATCAAAAACTAATGATGTAATGTATGGTGACTAACATAACATAATAAAATAAAATTTTTAAAAAATCACATGACAAAAGTTTAAAAAAAATAATTCCCATTTTGTGGAATTTGGAGACAAAAGGAGTTTAAGTAATTTGCACAAAGCTACTGAGTGTTTGGGACAATATTTAAGTCAAGATCCTTCAGAGTTCAAACCTAGAGAAACTTTTCCCAAGACTCTTGCTCTTTTTTGACAAACCTATTATCCAAACTTCTTTCAAGTGCAGTTATCCTAAATTTGCCAAAGGTAAGAAAAACCTAAGCAATAATTTCAAAAAAAAAGAACTAAACCAGATTTTCAGACCCAACCAAGCACTGGTAAGCCAGCATTTCCTGAAGGGCCTGGATGTTTGACAAGTGCCCCAGGTGGTTCTGATCTTCAGGCAGGCTTAGAAAATTGTGTGTGATAGAAATTTCCTTGTTCTTGTCTCACTACTGGAAAATATGGCATTCCTCTTTCCATGGATACTCTTGAGAACTTGAGAGAGCAAACGTAATGTTGCCTATGCGAGCATTTGAAAACTTGCAGAGCACTGAATGATAAGCTTTCAGTGTTATTACTTGTAGAAACATTCACTAGTACCAGGTGATTTCATAGAAATGCTTTGTGCAATTTTTTTAAAAAATCAGCTACAGTGATCTTCCAAAAATCTGCAGTTTGAGGGCTTTTTCTTGAGGCAGCTTTTCATCCCTTTGGTATGTTCTTTGCAGACGCTGAATGACATGGGAACCTCCAGGAGCCATGGGTCAGTGGAACAGTAGAACTGCAAGCCCTCTAGACGTGGAGTTATTTTTTCTGTGTGCTTGATGAAATGCCCAATATATCAGGAAAAGGGAGAAATCATCCACGCCTCTCCTAATCATGAGTCACAAACAGGTAGCAAGTGGAGACATAGAATAAACCTGTTTACGATTTCCCCAGCCCTTCAGGTAACATCATGGACCACTAGGGGTGGTTAGGGTCTGAGTCAACCTCCCAGTGGCTCCCCATTCACTGAGGTTGTGTTCCTGAAACCATTTCCCATGCCGCAGCCACCAAATTACCTACACTTGACTCATGGTTCCATTTGTGGAAATAATACTCAACTTCTGTAAGTTTCATGTTCTAAAACTCTACCCCCTCCCTCGCTCCCATTCCCAGGGAAAACATCAGAGACTGAGCTGGAAGATCTAGGTCCAGATCAGCTTCCAAAATGTGCCCTACTGTTCCATGCCAACAGAACGTCTTGGGAACCATAGAACTCTCTCTAGGATTTATTGTAGAAATCTATTTGGGATGCTGCTCTGTGACTGGGAATTCACAGGGCTTTTTAATCCCGGTTACACATTAGGATCATCTGGGGAATTGTAAAGAAAATATGCTAAGACCCAGGCACTTCCCCCCAGAAATGCTGCTTAGTGGGTCTGCGGTGGGTCCCAGACATGGGCATTTCTCAGGCTCCCAGCTGAGCCTGCTCTGGGGCTATGAGTGAGAAGCACACACTCAGTAAATACCTATAGAAGATATTTCAGTCATCAGGGGAAGCATTCTTGCTTCTGAACAACCGGTGTACTTTATCCTCATGGATGATGTGAATCTTGTACATGATTTCTTTTCATTTTTATTTAGGTTTCCAGGAAACTCAGATCCAATTTATGACATAGTGCTGGGAACTGGGGAGGCCTATTCAGCCTGCATGACTGCACACTCACATTTACCCTGGTTTACTCCATCTACACTAGCTACTTCCTGTCTCTGATTTTATTCTGCTTTCTTAATTTAAAAAAAAAATTGATGATGTTTATGTGATTTTAGAATTCCAAAATATTTTATAAATGAAGTAGGTAAAATGAAACCATGAATAAACAACTACATCAGGGCTGCCATTGCCAAGCTTCATTTTCCTCATCTCTAAAAGTTTAAAAACCTCCATTTCAGTTAATAATCGGGAGGATCAAGGAACAGTTCACGTACAAGTGCTTAGCAAACTGTGCAGTGCAATATAGTGTTTATTATTAGTTTATATTCGAAAGAAAGGGGTATGTGTGTGTAAAGTCGCTAATATGTCATCGTTGGAAGATAAGCATTTTAAGGTCACAGATTACATCGTCCTTGACCCACGGCATGTGAATGTTCAAAGAATAAACAACCCAATTGGTCAGCTCGGGGCAGAAATGTCATCACTGCAGCTTGTGTGACTGGAAGTATCTTTTGACAAACGCATAGCTTTCAGATATTTCAAATGAATGTCCTTGGTTGGTTCAGCTAAAGGGCAATGCATCCAATTCATCAAGAGTCTGGAGCAGAGGACATTGATGGAAGTGACAACCAACCTTGGGGCCAATACACACACCTAAGACTCAGGGCCGAGAGGTTAGCAGTAAAGCCCAGTGATAACACAGCTTGATGTCGAACAAATCATTTCCCTTCTGCAAAACAGGGTGAGCACAGCCCAGCACAACCTGCCAGGAAAGGGTGGTTTAAGAGCCCTTGAGATCGAGCGTCATCATTAGTAATGGTGCAACAATAGGAATCTTGTTACAATGCCAAGCAGGCAGATCCCACGGGCAGAGGTGGTGCTGAAAGACTGAAGGAGGAAAAGCGTCTATCACCCCACTGGGTATTTTCAATCCCTTCCTTTTCGCATTTTGCAGCGTCTGCCTTTGTGATACCCACAACCTCTGATCTCTATGGCTCAGCACATCTACCAATACCTTCTCTGTGTTCCAATTGGGGTGCAGCAGAAGGCAACAAGCCATTGCCTGCTGCCTCAGAACAAACCCCAGTTCTGCCTCTTCCCATCCTTGACACAAGAGTCTCAAGAGAAGTCCACGTTCTGCTCAGGGCTGGGGCAACACTGAAGGAGTCTGGAGGGCCTCAAACCCACCCATACTTCCCTAAGAGTCGTTTTCCAACAGCGTATCAATTAGAGCTCCGTATTCACAGTGTTTAATAACATTTTTTTCCTGCCCAACACACCCACCATCAATACTATGCCTGCTTTGTAACTGGATCTCTGTTCATCACAGAGAACAATAACCAAAAGCACAGAGCTATTCAGATAGGCAACACTATATGCTCTTTAAATATGGCTGTTTTAATATTTGAACGTGCTTTGGAATTGGGCCAGCAAATGACGAGTCAAAGGAATGTTCACAAGCTTTGACCCAGTGGCTGTACATCTAGAAATTCGTCCAATGGAGATATTCGGAAATGCGACAGAGCCTTACATACAAAGAACTCCACTGCTATATGATTTACAACAGCAAAACAAACAAACAAACAAATAAATAAATAGAAACATGTAACTTAATTGTCCAACAGCAGAGAGTTGGTTAAGTAAACTGTGCGAGAGCCATGAAATGAATTATTATTTTGCCCCTGAACTTATAAAGAGGTTTTTTTTTTTTTTTTTAAATGGGACAGTGCTTATAATCCAATGTTATGTGAACAAACTGTAACACAAAGGTAAATATACTGCACTGTATGGCCTCCACTGTGTAAAAACATGGAGCAAAAACCATAAGGAAGTGAGGAAAGAAGTGACAGTGAATGATTGTTGAATAGGGTATTACAAGGGAATTTAATTTTATTATACTTTCCTGTATTTTTAAAAACAAGTAAATTCTGTTTCTGCTTTCAGAAAAAGAATTTTAAAGATATGTTTCAATGCATGGCAAACACAGCCACTTTGGAAGACCATCACGCCCCCTTTGTCAGAGTAATAATCCAGTGGGGTTACAATGCAGGAATAGCATGGGGAGGTGGCCCAGGGAGAAGGGTGCTCTCTGTGTCAGGTGCAACCTCCCCACTAGACAAGTCCCTCTTCATGGCTGGTGTGAAGGAGGCGGGCCGGGTGCCATCCTGGATGTAAACCACCAGTACTCCCACAAACAGGGGTAATGACTGTTCCCAAGTGAAACCCCTTATGTTCACCGTTGGAGAGAAAGAAAATATTGCCAGGCAGGCCTTTTAAGAGAGAAAGACGAAAAGCCTGGAATTTGAAAACTAGCATCACCGGATTGTCAAACCATGTCATCGTACCCAGAAGAAAACTAAACATATGGAAGCCAGCTTCATTTCATGAATGCTGACACTTTTTAAGCCCCGAGGAGCTTCTGATAACCCATCCATCTCGTCCCTCAAAAAAGATGACATGAGCCAAGCTTTACTGTGTAACTTCTATTGTGCAGGCAAAGGCACCTTGGTACCTGGGTATTATGTGGCGTTCGGAGGAATACAAAAGAGACAGATGGTTGAGTGAACTCTTGGACAGCCCCATATCTGGGACAGAATACAGACAACAACAGAAAACATGAAAAGAAGGAAAAAACAGCATATGATTTTTCAAATTCCAACCGAGAGATTAACTCATTGTTTTTATTTGGTAATCAGAAGAACATACAGGTACTTATTCATCACTAGATGATGGGGGGAATTATACATCAACAGACTGTCAGCCTCATCTGTGCAATAAAGATTTACAATAAACACATCTTAAGTTTATTGAGAGCAGTTTAGCATTTCTGTTTTACATGAACCTTTAGGAATTATTTTTGCATTTGGAGGTGTGATGCTATGGTATTTGAATAGTTTTAGTGCAAACAGCATCATCGGGAACAAAACACTCTTCTTTAGAATGGATGGCCATTCTCTTTTCCTATGATATACAAATGCAAATTGCAACCTGCATTTTATCTGCTAGAGACCTATTTTACATCATGGAAGTACATTCTATCACTGTTGTAAAAATAAGCACAAGTCTATTTTACCATCTTCCCTTTTGGAGGACCATTCTCAGAACACATCCAGAAATCTCTTCCTTATCCCTCCAAAGAACTACTTATTTGGCATGATTTGGACTGAGTTTTGGGGTTTTGGTTCTGCTTTCCTCCCTCTTTTGAATCTTGTTAAACATTCTTGGTATTAATCCAGACACCTCCCACAAATCCAGCTGAACCGCAACAAAATCTAAGGCTGAGATGAGCTGAGTTATCCATTCATATAGGGCCAGTGCCCATACCAGGAGAGGGTCTACAGACCCATGGTGAGCACCTGCCATCCTAAGGGGAAAAACCCTGTGAGGGCAAAGTTTGTGCTCTATACTGAGGGAAAATGATGGCATTACATTAGCCTCAAAGTGAGTCACCTTGCTTCGGGTAACTGATCTCCCATGAGGATTTCCTTTCTCCTGCTTCCTTTCCCCAATCTATTCCCTACTCCCCAACTACCTACCTCACCCTTGGCACCCAACATTTCCTCATGTTAATTACACTGGAAGAAGATGCTTTTCTTTCCCCCATTATTGTGTGTTTCTTTGTGCGAAAATGATACCACAGGCAGAATGGCTTGCCTGGACAGAGGCGAAAGAAGGAATTTATGAAAGGTAGAAAAATGAGAGAAGAAAAAAAGGGAAAGGTAAAAGAAAGGTATGAAAAAGGGAGAGGACCCTTAAATTAGGTAGGGGGAGGAATCTGGCTGACCAGTGGTTACCAGAGCCGATAAAAACCCAACCGAGCTCTACAAATGAAAATAGCAAATATTTTTAAAAAATTTTTTACAGCATATAAAATCGTATAAAAATATCAAAGCAAGAAAAAAAGGAAAATGTATACTCTACAGTTCTATCTCTAGAATCAGCTACTGGACGGTACCTACGACTGTAGGTTTTTACTATAAATCTATGTATATCAGTGTGTGACTCTGTCTCTGTACCATCATACATATACTCACTCAAAGACAAGGACACAACTATACAAATACCTACCCCAAGATAGATCATGACAGAGAAGCAAAGACTCTACAATAATGTGCCTCCAGGGCAATCTATTTAAAAGCCAATCCATAGTTTTTGGGTTTTAATGGGCTTTATTTTAAATAAATTATCCGGCACCATAACCTGACAGGGAAATGCTCCTGCAGGTTAAGAAGCCCACTCCAATGAAAGTACGTGGATGAAGTTCAGTGATCATGGCTGAAGCTGACCAAAGTTGAGGGCCTCCATGAGGGCACCGACTGGCCTGCTCCAGCCAGCATTTATCCCCAGAGATTCACGCTCTTCCCAAAGGAGGTTGAATAAGTGTGCCCTGAGGGAGATGAAAGGGCCCCCACACCAACCCCTGCGCCTCCTGGCTCAGGGGATAGCAGTCTAGGCTGGGTCCAAGTTCATTGAGGGAAGCCAGCCATGGCCAGTGTTGATCCGCTTCTACTTGGGAACAGGAACCAGAATAAATGTAAATTCATCTCAAATACATCTGCAATATTTTAATGAAAAATGGGAGAGGTGGGGGCGGATTAGTTAAAATAATGAGGAATTAATAATGTTTAAATTGACTTTCATGAATTTTTCAGTCCAGGTCTCCCCCACTGTACCCACTCTTGTTTAATGTGTAAAAAGCAAGTTGTTCTTTCATTGAAACAATTCTTGATGACGGCAGACTTTCCTGGAGAAGGATGCAGTCTTTTACAAATGTCTAATGAGAACATCCAGAGGACTGCTTCCCATTTGTTTCTAACCTCTCTGAACCCAAATTAACTGAACTCTGTCAAATATTCTAGGTGGTTCCGCTACCATTCTAATTCTACTGTCACCTCCAATGCTCAGGGTCTTTGGTGAGAGGAAATCTTAACAACTGAAATCTGTTCTTGGCAGGTAATATGTCCCTGGCTCTCAGAGGGATGTTTCATAGAAACATTGTGCTGTTCATTACATTTTTTTCATTAAGTTCATTTTCTAAGTGATAATGAGGCCTTTAATGATGGAGCAATATTGATGAATCATAAGTATTACTTTCCATTTATTCACACATAAGATGCAATATAACATCATTATTGCAACATTACATTCTTTAATGTCCAATTTTGCTGTGGTTCAGTGCTGTACCCACCATAATATCAGCAGAGCAAAACTGGGCAGTGATTCCCCACGCTGCACATACAGGATCTCTTATTTGCTGCAAGTTGGTCCACTTTGGATTTTAACTATTTCAACTTGGATTATAAATAAATCCACTGGTATTTCATATAGATTGGTGTCATCATCCCTTTTGGAAGAACAATTTCAGATAAATCCTGTTTTGTTTTGTTTTTATTTTATTTTTCTTAGATCCAAAAGCCATAGAGAGGTTTTCATTTTTTTATTATTTTTTTCATAAACTTGGCTCTGACAATTTTCCCCCAAACCACCTGCAATTTCTATCCCTTATGATAAGCTACTGATGTCACTAGGGTATGTCCGCATATCTTTAGAAAGTAAGCCTTTCATGATATGCTTGGCATATAGGACATGTTGGGCTTTGTTGGCACTCACGGGTGGATAGTGGAATGCAGCTGGACGGTTGTGCGCCTGCTTTCTGAATGCTGACTGTGTGCTGGGCCCTCTTGCCGGGGGGTGGGGGGGGGGAGCGCAGCACTGTAACTCCTACTGGGATGTGTGGGGATCTCAGAATCAGAACAAAGTTTCCAACTGGAATCCCCTTTATTGGGGACATAGTACTGCATACACAGGCTTTAATCTCAGAATCTTCTCTCTCTCGTTATGAGAAAAAGATTTAGTGCTTTTTCTCTTTTGTTTCCTCCCCATCGTCCACAGGGGACATTATGAAGTCATTTATCATGTAAGTCTCTGCTCAAAGGTGAAGAATAGAAAAAAAATATATATTCTATCTATCTATCATCTATCTAAAGAAAAGTGATCCATGACAGAAGTGATACAAAAAGACCAGTATTCTTACTCCCAAAATATGGATTACAAAATTGGTCTCCATCTGTTTTTCTGCATTCTGCCTCACAACCCATCATAATGTTGCTCTTGACTTGTTCACTCTTCTAATTTACTAAAGGCATGGTTCTAGGTGGAAAATATAATACAATGGCTTTAGTTCTGCAAATGAAATAAACAGGTACACTAGATTCTTCTTTGGCTCTCAGATGTTTAGATACTATTTTACTGTTTAAGTATATCAGGTCCTTAGTGGGATCCTGTCAGATGTTTTCAATAGTTTTTAAAAGCTCCAAGAATGAAATGGATAATGGAAGAAAATCCATTCAAATTTAATGGGTTAGAAATGAGTCTCTTGCCTGCTGCCATAAGTTATTAGGGTTCATAATCTAAGAAAGGTTGGCATGAATAAAAGATGGAACAAAGACCTCCTTACGGATCGGTCATTATGCCTCAAAACACACCTCATCCACAAAACCTGGATGTGGAGCTCTTTGGTGACACAGGGACCCAAACTTTAGGGTCAGCTTCATTTGGAAAGTGTTCCACCCAGGGACATGTAGAAATTGTGGTTTGTCAATGGTGGAAATGTCCCTACTGCTTTCTCCACATACTGGGCAATTCTTAATTCAGGTGTGTAAGCCCTTGCTTTCTAAGTGACGTGACAGTGTAATACTAAGATGCCAGACTCCATGCGATGTGTGTCCCATATCACTGCTCCCTTGGAAGCTGTTTCAGGAGAACAAAAAGACCAAGAAAGTGCACCAGCGCTTTGGAAATATTGTTCTTCCAGTCAATACTGACTTGGGATCTTAATTTCAATGTTTTATCAACTCCAGTATTAATGTATACCACAATAATACATTGGTTTATATTTTTAAAAAGTAGATAATTTTGCAGTTTTACTCAGTGTCCCTTCAAAATACTTTTTAAGGATTCAAAGGTAAGTTACATGGAGTTTTGCTTCTCCACATTGAGAATTCCAAACAGAGTTCTATACTGAATGAAACTCTCTTCCCATTCTTTTTCAGCTAATTAATGACTTAAAGCAAATGGAAAACATTACCATCTTTATTGTTGCTAGAAAAAAATGGCTATATTCCTGTTTCTTTTTCAGATATTGTTTAGTCTTACTTGTTAAGTGTATAAAAGGAAAGTTGTAAGCTTTCTGTTTTGACCGGCTGCAAAGCTCTACATACAAAAGTACAGAACAGAAATGAGGTAAAATGTTTAGGTTCCAAGATGAAAAATTTGACATGCTCTGGTTGTATTTCATTCCTATACAAAACCATACCACCTCAAAGAGCATAGTTTGCAAACTGATGTCCCATGGATGGAGTGCAGGTCATAGGCATGCTTTGTTTTGACCAGCACAGTCTTTGGAGATTGCTGAACTTATCGCCAACATTTAAAAATTTGGAGAGGGTTTATATAGAATCCTAGGTATCTAGGAACCCCATTCCTACATAGCACTAATCCTGTTGCTGACTAGTAACTGCCCCCTTTCCATAACACACACCTCAACGTACAGAAAGCTCCAATTCCTCACAGTGCCTACTGCTCCTTACTGCCTTGCTGGTACCAATCGCCATTGATCACAATAACTCTGATACTACATGGCTTGCTTTATTCATTTACTTGACCTACTAGGCCCCTGATTTGAATTTGTGACCACATTATTTACTGTGGTTACTGTTAGAAAAGCAGAGGGAGCAACAGAAAAATATGTGTTATTACACGGCAAAATGTAAAGCTGACCAAAGAACAGTATTTAAATATCAGTACAAACTGGGCATTTTACACAAGAGTTCTTCAGATCTTTCTGTTGGGGAATATTTCAGTGAGGCAAGAGGCCCTATAGACTACATACACAGTCTTCTTTCTGTCTGAAGAAATAGCAACATTTTGCTTTAGTAATAAGAAGATTCTTTAAATGTTTGTTTGGGTGTTTTTAATGTAGAAATTAAATCTGCAATGGGGAATACACCTAAGCCTACCATCTAGCTCTCTCTGTCCCTATTACTAACCCCACTCCATCACCAGCATAGTCATGGGGTTTCTCCTTGGGAAGGACTCAAAGATTTCTTTGTGAACCATAACCACCTTTTAAGAATGAGTTTTATCCAAATCACACCACTGAGACTCATAACATCAACCTTTACTTAGACTCCACTGCATCCCATTTTTGACTTGGATTCAGGCAGTGTATCTTTATTCTCTTTCCATGCTACATCCACGAATCTTTCTTTTGATTTGTGCTATTAATTATCTCCTATGTGTTATTTTTAAAGACTCACTAAAATGAGAAGAAGTATTTGACATATCTCCCTGATACTAATTCCCTTAGCACTTCCCTGAATAGAAAGAAGAGTGATTAAGTAAAACCATAAATATCCAAAAGAAGAGGACTGGCCAGTGGTAAAAATTTCAGTAACCACTTAGTCATGGATGCTACCCAATGAAAACAATGTGTCTCCCACCTAAACAGTATAGTCATCAGTGGAAACATTCAGGTTTATATTAATGAATGCACAGATAAATTAAGCATTTACAAATAAAGAGTCCTATAGGATAATCTCTTTTAAAAAAAGAATTTCATATATAAATGGAAAGACAAGCATAAGAACAATTTTTAAGTCTGAAAGAAAATTGGAGAAAAAGAATGTTCCTGACTCAGGAAAGGAACAACCAGAGACTGGAATCATCATCTTAGCTGTGATGAAGGGCCAGCACGGCTGTATCCACCATCAGTAGCCAGTACAAAAATAACAGTTTAAAGGAACGGCATCGACAGTAGTAAAATGGCAATTACTCTGCATGTGGCTTTTTCAGGCCGCCCTCAGCATATCCAGGATGTCCATCCTCATCAGGCCAGACAGGTGCCTTGAAAGCCAGGGCATTAGCAAAGAATTCTGAGGAAGACCGTTCATGTTTTGTTTCTGTTTGTGCAAAAAGCTCAAGTTGTTTTATTTGCCTGGGGGAGGATTTCCCCAGAGTTCTTAGACCTCAAACCAGCTCCCAGAGAGCCGTCTCTTGGAAGGAGGTGGCATGAGGGAAGGCCAAGTGTAGGGGGGCTTGTTTCTGAAAGTTGGACACCTTCCCTAGATATGGGTCTTTGTGGAAGGAGGAGAAGGAGAATGAAGAAGCTCAGCTAAAATGATGCAAGACACTGGCAGCCTCTTTTATTGTATGTGAGGTGTGTTTTACTCTTCTGAATCTGAAAAAAAGAAAAAGAAAAAGAAAAGTGTCAATGCTGCCTTTCCCCCCACCCTTCTCCACCCTCCAGGTCTGAGGAGAAGAAAATCTGTGGAACAAAAAAAAGGGGGGAGGATCAATTAAACATTTCCATACTAGTCATTGCTATCTCCTTTGTAGCACCGTTTGCTCTGTTCATAAAGGGAAACTCTCAGTGGAGAATTTTAAACACTGGTTACATTCGAAATCTTCATAGTTACTTTCAACTTGATTATCAAACATTTGGTTCATGCAATATGGATACTAAAATACCTTATTTTGCAACCAAGATGACAGTGACTGCCAGGTCTGGCCAATATGCCTCAGGGGTCAGTGGGATTGGAAGAAATCAGATTCATCAAATCCCAACCATTTCCATACCAGAAGCAATATTCCTCTCTCAGAATTTTTGCACACCCACCTCCCCCTCAGAAGCTTCCCCAAGAAGATTTAAAGCAAGATGTGTCCCAACTGAAATCATTATGCAGATGGGTAAATCACCTGACTTCTCTACTGGACCCAGAGTGAGGTGGTGGAGGAAGAAGACAAAGATGGAAACAGGACTAAGTTAATGGAAATAGACGGTAGTGGATTTTTTTTTTTTTCCACCTGGCATACTCTACCCCATGGAAGCTCACTAGGCTTGGACAGAATTTCTAAAAAGCAAGCAGACAAACAAAAACCACCATGTTATTGCTTCCCATGAATGTTGCAGGGACTGCAAGTCATCATGCCTTATAGTTAGAGAGGGTTCCCTCCTGTGCAGGGCTCCAAAGGAAGAGGGGTACAGTGGCTTAGTTTTTAAGGATTACACCATTTACCTACAGAAATGTTAGGCGTCATTAGTGGATAAGGAACATTTCATATTCGACTTGAAAGACTAAGATACTGTCCTAAAGGAGACTTAGTTGAAATTAGGCAGTGAACTAGTTGAGAAATAGGAGAGCCCTATCTGATCTTTTGTAATTATTTTCAATTCTCAATTTTCCAGGGGCCATTGATCCAATCCTCCTGTTGTTCCTTTCTTCATTCTGGTCCCATGCATGTTTACCCTTCGACAGCACCTTCACCCATTCAGCAGAAGTAACAGAAAAGAGAAAAACTTCTGACCAGTTTACTCTGATGTTAGCACTGGCAGTGAGGGAAGTGACCAGTTGCCTCTCTGGAACTTCCCAGGGAGGGAAAGGGGTGAAACGAAAGCTGAAATCAAGGACTAGAAACCTCCCCCTGATTCTGATCATCTGCGCGATTTGGTCTGGGTGGGAGTTGCCAGACAGCACTCCTCCTTAGCGCTCTGGCCCCACCATTATCCGTTTGAGGTCATATGTAATGAAACTCCTTTCAATCATCATAGCACTAACCACCTTAGGAGATGTCCCCACACCCTCAAATATAAAACCCAATTTTATTATGATGATATAAGTCTGAGGTTGATTTTTTAATAATTGATCAATTGGTTGGAAGGATGCTAGGGAGAGCTGACAAGGACCACTGTTATACCCAGTGAGCCTCAATTAGCCAACAAGGGAAGGGATTCACATCTCCTTTCATGTGGCCTCCATGAACAGTGGCCAGCTGTCCAGCTTGCAGGGTTTCTCCAGAGATGGAAAGAAGTCCATCTAGGATCCTAATGGACCCCAAAGGCTCCTGAAAGAAGACCTTTCTCCTTTTCTAGGCATTGCTTCTGAGTGAGATGAGAAGTGACTTGGCTGTGGATCTCCACCTTCCCCTCCACAGTCTTCTGGTCAAGGCATGGAGGGAAGAGGTATATAAAGGAAACGTGTCTAAGCTGCGCCTGTATTCATTAAGTACAACCAACAGTAAAAGATGCTCTGTAGCTGGGTCTGGGACCTGAATGACCATCCTAGCCTTCCCAAACACTTGCTCTGTCGAAAGTAGTTTCCGTTCATAAATCTCTTAGGGCACTTGCTGTAAGGTGCCTCATATCACAGCTACCTGCAAGATGTAGATTCCTTGAGGGCAGGGAAAACATCACTTATCTTCATAACTCTGTGCGTATATTACACACATTACACATATTTATATAAATTTTTTTATATAAATATAAATCTCTTAGGGCACGTGCTCAACAAATTATTTTTTAACTGAAAGGAAGTGAATTAAATAAGCATCAGGTAGATGGGACAGATACAGAAGCATAACGATGAGTAGGAAGTCTCTTGCCACCCTTTTTGAAAATCTTTTCATAGCAGGAAACAAAAATTAAAAAGAAAATCATAAATGTATTTATTTTTTATTTTATTCAAGAGCAAGGTAGGATATGTCAAAAACGTGTATTTCCTTTGAAGAACTTGCCCCACTGGGGACACTAATGTCCTGGAGAAGAGGCACATGTTTGCAGGTGGCGTTGACATGCTCTGTAAGGCAGGCTTGCTCCTCACTCTTTCCACACTTCCTCCCCTCATCCCTGAGTGTCCTATATTTGCTTTGTTGTGGTGTGGCTTTGTGTCTTTGTTTTCAATTTATACTAAAATTGGGTAAGCATTTTAAGCTAAAATTGGGTAAGACCACAAAGTATTACTTTTATTTTATAAGTTCCTGAAGACAAGTAAGTGGCCACTCGGTATTTAACTGAGATGAAGGATTATTTTTTGTTCTAGGGTCTTTGAATTCCATTGATTGTAAATCTATGTTGGCTTTTTGGAGGCCACAAAAAGCAGTTAAACTCACCCACCTTTTTATGACTGATAAGCAGAAATGGAAAATATCTTCACCTAACTTGAGATAATTCGAGAAAATATCTAGGCGAGTGCCATCCACCCACCCACCCTTTGACCAAAGACTTCTTACGTCTCACAAAGGGGCAGCCACAGAGGCTCTGAATCCTGAGGCACATGCTGTATGAATTCACAGAAACATATTTACTCTACGGAAATGAACAACAAAAAATGTTTCAGCAACTTCATTTGGAGAAAAAGGAGGTGGAAACTGACAACAGTGTGGCCTTGTTTATCCCACACTTCCCACGCTATTCCTCCTACAGGTAAGTGGAGATGCTGTATGAAACCATTTTGTTTAAAGATGATTGTTTTACGAAGAGGCTTAAATTTCGATTTAACGTGATTTGACTCTAAAAATGTGTTTATCTGTCATAATGTTTATTCCTAGATCATCTACGAGGCAGGCCTCATAGGAATCTGGCACCAGGCTTGAAAAACAACTGTAAACACTTTTCTTTTCATTTTTCTTGGTTTTGATTTTTTACAGCCTGATTCAACTATCATCCAAGCTCAAAGAAATAAGCTGACTTGGCTGAGAACAGAGCTGGGATTCAAACCAGATTTTCAGGTTCCAGAAACTCTACCATAGCTGCCTCCGTATTGAGTCAACTTTCTATGAAAACAACAAAATACAGTAAGCAATGGAAAGGAAGAATAAATGTGGCAAAACCAAACCCAATTTTAGATGTCTAGTAGAATTTCTGTGGGACTTATAAGTGGGTTCTGGTTTGGTTTTGTTTTTTAATAATGAGGAAATGCTAGAAACAAACAAACATTATTTTAGCTATAGCTGATAGAATTTATCCAAGCACAGATTTCACTGTTTTAGGTTGTAAGTGCTATTTTAAATGGTTATCACTAAATATCCAAAAGCATACATTGCCTGCTTTCTCCTTGCCCCAAATGATAACGGATATGATTACAGTATGATTATTCTAAGTGAATTTCACCGCATGGAATATTAATGCTACAGCCCTGCTAAGATAGATGGGTGGATGGATGGATGGATGAATGAACAGATGGACAAACAGACAGAATAAGTGAGTAAGTAAATTTATGGGAATATAACTTCCTGAAACCTTGCCTATGCCAACATGCTGAGCTCTTAAAATGTACCCATTTGATCCAAATACACAGAATAAAAACAGAACAAAAGATGGCAGTTTTTAGCTCCAACCCTTGCCCAATGTTTTCTTTTCTTTTGGTCCATGGCATCTGTGCTATCACTGAGAATAATGATGGTATTAAAGTTTTATTCTCTAACTTTTCTGCCTGCTCCTTCCCTTTACACAGCATGGTCTTTCCAAACTGAAAATCTGTGAATAACTCACTCTCTTCTGCCCCACACTGCCCAAGGTGTTTTACTGTTGTTACTCTCTTATTAAGAAATTAGTACTGGGCGCCTGAGTGGCTCAGTTGTTAAGCGTCTGCCTTCGGCTCAGGTCATGATCCCAGGGTCCTGGGATCGAGCGCCGCATCGGGCTCCCTGATCAGCGGGAAGCCTGCTTCTCCCTCTCCTACTCCCCCTGCTTCTCCCTCTCCCACTCCCCCTACTTGTGTTCCCTCTCTCGCTGTGTCTCTCTGTCTGTCAAATAAATAAATAAAAGCCTAAAAAAAAAAAAAGAAATTAGTACTTTAACGCTTAAAGAAACAATGAAAACATTCAAGTTTGCAAGTGCTCCAGGGCCTGGCGCACTCTTCAGAGGTAAGTAAACATCAGGCATCAACAGCCCCTACCACTCCTTGGGGCAGGTGAGACGACCTCGAGTTGTCTGCATACTTAAGTTTTGTTTCTGATCAGTCTTTGAACCTGCTGTTTTTGAAGGCAACAAGAAGCCAGAGACCACAGAGACCAAGAAAGTCCTCCATAGAGACCAAGAAAGTCCTTCAGAAAAGTTAAGTGAGGCTGGAATTTTAGACCTGAAACATTATGACTGCTCTTCATGTTTTTCTCAATTTTATTAGTTCAGGAAAAGCAATATAAGATTCAAAGTAAGTGAAAGAAAAAACAAATATTTTTTCTCAGGTTTTCACTGTGGCTCCAGAGTAGAAGATAAAAATAGCGTGCATGTATTGTAGAGGGCTAATACTTATGAAATACATATGTCATCACTTGAAGATCGTGGTGCCCTTCTGTGGAGAATGCTAAGAATAAACACAAAGAGGAAGCTTTGATACTTGCTTGATATTGCATTTTTAACGGTTCTCCTAGTGTGTGGGTGTCTAGAAAAGAAAGGGCATT